TTCTGGTGGGATTTCACATGTTTTCATCTCCCGTTTCATCTCCCTTGAGTTTTTCAGCCTCTTGCACTTTGTGTCAATGCCAGGCTCAGGGTTTCCAGCTTTCACTACTGATTGGCATGAGGGGTGTCTAGAGTAAAGATTTCTTTGAAGTGATCTGCACATCTGCTTTCCCTTCTGTATTAGCTGTGAATATTTTTTTCCTCTTGTCTCTTTGTTTGGCACATTTCTTCCCTTTACTCTCCTGCTGAAATGCTTTGTCTTTTCCCATTATAGCAGTAGCATCTTCTCTATCTGTTACAATTTTCATCTTTTTCTGTCTTTCTCTACAATGCTTTTCACTAGAGGTTTAGCTTCTGTTGCTCCTTCTGTGCCGCCTTCCAAATTTTTTTTTATTCTTACCATTTTGGGAGTTCTCCCTTCTCTTGGCAAAGGGCCACATTTTCTGCCTGTGATTTTCTCCAATTACGACTCTTGCAGTTTAATAACATTGCTGCTGAGCTGATCTCAGGGCTGCTGAGTCACTTTCACCTGTGTTTGACAAAGCCTCAAATGAATTTGTCGGCATCGATCTGAGCTTGCTCATGGTATCTTTCGGCTGTTCCATTTTGTACTGTTGGCCAATTCTGACTACTTCTTGAAGTCACTAATTTGCCATCACATTTACAGGTTGGCAATGGTTAGATTGGTCAGTGGTACCACTAGTTTGGAGCAACTACATTTTGGAGCAACAAGCTGAATTTTGGTTTGCCACATACCAAATGTGGAAGTCTAATGCGAGTAACTAAAAGCTTTTCAAGAAGAGAGCAAAAGAAGAGCTTTCTGATTCAGACTCCAGTGCCCTACCTCACTTCATGGCCTGTGCTGCATTATTAAAGAAGAAAAAGAGCAGAGAATGATCCTTCCTGGTCTATCCTCACAGTTTCACCAGTTTCTAGTGTGTTTAAACACACTAGAAACATAGAAATATATACAGAAATATCCTGCACTATTCTTCCAAACCCTATTTTAACTGCTTTATACTTTGGGATCCAAGGTATTTTTTGCCAATGAGTGACATAAAGCAATTAAAATTGTGTAATGCATCTACTTCACTTTTTAACCATTTGAGAGATCCCTTGAACATGCTCTAATGATACTTAAGAGGAACCATAAATATATGTTCACACATCAACATCTCCTTGTCACACATGACTCTATATACTATATTTCCTGTGCTATCTTTTCCTCTGTTATCTATAAGTAGTGTAGCTCACCTAGTTCCTTGAGATCATAATTTTTAAGAGCTTTTGGTGGCAGACCTTGGAAAAAGTACTCTCATACCCACATGCTAATAATCCACCTTCACAGAGCTATAAATACATTTGTAGGGCATCACATTCTCACAAAAACTCACTTCCTACAGTGATCCATGGACCAGTAGTTCTATTTTTTATTACCATTTCTATGGTAATTGCGACTGTGTAAGTTGGACCTACTGATCTTTAGTGCTTGTCATCATTATGGGAAGTTTTTATAAACACAGATGTCACATTTCCTACCTTCCATTTCTCCTTTACTGCTATTAATACAAGCAGTAGCTTATTCCACAGTAAATAGTTCAGCAGTTTTCTAGAGTTCTTTCAAAAGTCTGAAGAGGAATCTTTAGAGGAACCTTAAAAAGTTCTAAAAGAAGAGACTGAAAATTTCAGAGACTTGTAATGGTTCCTCAAAATAGAAGCCTGGCTCCAAGAAGCCAGTCATCTGGCTTGCTATAGGTTTTGCCTGTTTATTACAATTTTTGCAATTTTATCAAGATCTTTCACTTCTGGAACCACTTTGATAATTACCAGATTTCCCTGTATCTCGTTATTATTACAGCCTAGGTTAGTTATAAAGGTCATGTCAAAGTGACAGCTGTATCATCACATTTTTTCAGTAACCCTTTGGCAGCAGTTGTTCAAAACAGCTCCATTCTCATCACCACACTCTTCAGCAATGGAACAGTACATCTTTTACTAATGGCTGATCTTTCAGTAACTGGCTTGGATCTAGCACATATTCCACACTGTTGATGATACCAGGTCGACAGCAATTTTCCATTATAATTCCTTCTTGGTCGCAAGATGTGCAACCAGTATGATCTGAACAGCTGAGGTATTTCTTCACTTGTATAAAATACTTACGATCTGCATCTGCAATTACTGATATGTTGATTTTTTGGCAAGAAAGGCTGTCACTTCCATCATGATATAAAGGATCCCTATGGACCTTTATTATTCTTTTTCTGAATTATCATACTCACAGTAGCACAGTCAAGGTGCCTGGAGTGTTTCTTTCCACGGTGCTTTCTGTTGGCAAACCTTAACTTTTCAGGGCCTTACCTTTTTGAAAGTAGCAATTACCAGAAGGCTCCATAAAGTACAAACATTGAGAAGTCTTTTGCAGTCACTTTTACTGAAGAGGTAGCCTGATCTCATTTGCCTTCTGATTTTATTGATCAACAACTGTACCAAAATGGCACATACCTACTCTCCACTCTTTTCAGCCCTGGGGCCCTAATTTAACATTTTTTGTTCTCAACTCCCTTCTTCTGCTCTTTTAAACACTTTAAAGTTTGCTTCTTGATACGGTAGCAGTAAACAGTCCTTTCTGTTAAAACGCTGTATTGAAAACTACTTTTTGTAACTATTTGAATATTGTAGTGCTACGTGTGGGAGAGAATCCAAAAAAATGCTCTTCTCTGACACCCACACAGCACAATGGAAATGAGCAGTTTAACACAGCAACTTTAATCACAGACACATATACTAAACTAATTGTGGTTTGCTTCACTAACAGTTGGAAATTCTCAAAAAGGCAGATATTTTGAACATATTTCAATCTGTGTTCTTTCATTTCCATGACTTTCCCCCTTTGGCAAAGAGTACACAGTCAGCTACTAGTTTTCTTCCTTCGCTCCAAATTTCTGTCATTTCCCAATGTAACCAGCAGTTTTCTTAAGCAAATAGTCATTGTTCTCAGTATGTTTGTCCTCCATACATCTTCCCATTTCATGGTAAACACATGAGATCTTTTTCTTTTTTAAATCATGCTGTACCAACAGGGTAAAAAACATTAAAGGAATATCACAGAAAAACTCAGCTGAATACATGAAAAGCAGGGAAAATGTATCAGTTTCTATTTCTTGAAAACATCAATCATAATGGAAGGGTTTGTTAATCACTTTTTTTTTTTTTTTTTTATCTCAAGTTTCCTGCCCTTTTCCTTGTGAGATACACATCTAGAAAAAAGTCAACTCTCTTCCAGGGTAGCAAAATTGTAATTAAATATATCTCTGGCCATGTGAATGAATTGCAATGCCTGAAAGGTATCACTTTTCATTCTGGAAAAAAGAATGCTTTGTTTTATATCTGGTTTCACTCGTTCAGATGTCTTGATTTCTAATGGTAAAAGGCAAGCTGGAAAAAAAAGTCAGGTCAAACCTTTTCATAATGATTGAAAGGGTCTTCATAAACAAGGAAAGGTGTGTATATGCTTCTTTAGTATTGCTCTGGTATTAAAGATTTAGATCACATCTCATTCTTTACTCAAAAACTGCTTTGGAGAATTGACTAATCATCATGAAAGTAAAAATGCACCTTTCATTACTAGCAGGTTTTGTGACACACAAGATTTCTCAGTATGTTTAATAAAGATGTATCTTTCTTCTTACAGTAGCGGATATGTATATCAGAACATACCTAAGTGTACAGGGGCAAGAGTGTATGTAATTTTATTCATGCCTGACCTCAAGCTATTTGTGAGAAAATACAGACATTTCTTATCAAACAATATTTCAATGTGTAAAAAAAAAATCAAGTCAAACTTGCTTCTTTCATGATGTTGTCTATGAGATTAAGGAAGTACCATTACTAGACTAAAATCTCACAAAATCAGGAACAAAGTTCTGCTAAGTTAAGGCTAGGCAACTAAAAAGATGCCTACAACAAATTTTCATAACAAAAAACTTTATAAATACAATTAAGTCTGTCATTTGAATGATTTTATGCAATATCATTAAATACAAAGACTCTTTCAGAAACAGAAGAGGAAAAAGAAAAAAACCAATGTTATTGCTCGTTCCATGATTTCCTGCCAGGATATTAAAGTCCTTCAAAATGAGCCACGCATTTGTAACACAGACACTGCAGGATTAGGAAGATTGTGGGATCAAGTGTTCCAAAAACCAAAATGGAAATGCTTTATCTAGTTATGGAAAGTGGATGAGGCTCTTCATTTCAACAAAGCAGTATACTGTGTGCACACCTACATCTCCCAAATAAATGTAGGTAGTGAATATATGCTGTCTTCAATTAATTTCTTTTTATTAAACTTGAAGTTTTAGAGAATATTCTGCATTTACTGAGGCAACAGTGAGATTCCAAGAGATCTTACATGATTTTCAGTAAGGTAAAAGCAGAAAATTCATTAGGTTAGTACATAAATGCTGCATCAGAAATTTACAAATACTCTTGAATAAACTCATGCTTTAGTGAAAAAAGTAATAATCTTGAACCACAGAATCAAGTTTAAACTCTCTAGGAGCTACCTGGAAGTATTTCTCTTTCACATAATTATTTTCAAGCTAGTTTCTCAAATATATTGAAAACAAACATCATTCTCAATAGTGCTAAAGCAGAGACTTTCAAGATCCCAAGATTCTAAAACCCCATCTTTCCTTAGATACCTGCATAATTGGCCTGATTTTCCAGAATTACTTTGAACGTAATAGGTTTCCTTGATTTTTGCTGAACTTCTACAAATGTAAGAGTATTTCATTGGAAGACAAAAATTGCTCAACTTTTTTTTTCCCAAACTACATAAACAATTTAGAAAAACGTCCCTGTTTGGAAATCCCATCCTCGCCTTGACCAGAGCTCCTTATCTGATAAACTGACTCTCGAAATGAGAAGCTATACACCTCAGATAAATGAGTCTGTACCACACAGTGAGGAATATCAAAGCGAAACAAGTCAGTTTACCTTTGCCTTGCGGAAATGGTAGACTACCAGCATGCTTATGAAGTCCAGCAGCATACAGAGCGTTTGGAATGAGATGATAGCCAGCCGTAAATACTTGTCCTCCTGTGCATAGCAGGGAGTATCGTCTGTACAGTAGGAACATCCTTCTCTGCAGGGTAGGCAGGTGTAGATTTCCTCTGACAATTCACCAACTGAAAAGCGATTCTCTCCATCTTTTCCTGAAAGTGTCAGAAGGGCAAGGGGAGACACCTTTAGTTTTACAGGATGGGGAGTTCATCCAGACAGAAGCAAACCATCACTCTGCTGGGCATCCTTTCCCTCTCGGTTAGCCTCTCTCATTAGGTTACAAAATAGCTTTGCCAGTGTTGCTTTTCTAATTTCACTTTCCCTTGTAACATTTAGAAAATTAAGATCAATTTAGACATGAGGGAAAGTGAGGTTGTTAAACATCAAATGCTTCCCTGTTATATTTAAAGTGGGCTAAATCTGCACCACAAATTCTGTGAAGGAGAATTCTGAATGGGGAAGAAAAGTACATGAAAGATTTGAGAATAAAGGATTCCACACAGACACATGAAGAGCAGACCCATTAACTACCTAATGTTCATAGTACAAGCTCTGATCCTATTTCAGATTGTTCCTCAATTTCATAAAGATGCTATCTAACGAATTAATGAGCTTCAAATTAGATAAAACCCTTCTTAATTAACATTTGTTCAGTATGTTGTTGCATGATTGCACTACTCTGTCCCCAAAGCAAAACCAGTGCACTTACACTAAGTATAATTTTCCATTGTTCACACAAGCACACCAGGAAATTTGGAAAACCTACTGGCAAAAATTAATATTTTGTCTATGAAAATCAGTGACTCTTGAGCTGACATCTCATCCATCAAAATGAACCCATCAACAGCACACACAGAAGGATTCCAAGTGTTTCTGATCCATTAACATTTGCCTGTAAACCCCTCTAAGGCTTCTTACCCTACAGGCAATTAATGGAGTAAAAAGGTGAAAAAAGGCAAAGAAAGAATATTATTAAATAAGATGGAAAAATGAATTTATTGAAATATTTACTATTGGCAAGACAGCCTTAGGAGCTCACAGAAACAAGAGAAATGTGGCTGAAGCCAAATCAAAGGTGTGTTAAAATCTGTGATAACTCCTTTTCACTTTATATAAGACTAGAGAATTGCTCCAATTTCTTTGTTCAAAAGTTTCCTTTGTCACTGACAACAGTAAATCATCCATTTTTTAGTCTCAATTCAAGAGACATCTTATTCCACTTATGTTGCATGTGCATATGGGTTCACGAAACTCTCCTCAGACTTTTAGCTTGAAACATTTTAAAAAGAAGGTTATCTCCAACGGCAATTACTTATTGCCTTCTCAAATCTATGTACAAACACACATGAACACACATCTGCTGACGGCAAAGCCTGGGAAAGGAACAAAGAGGCCTTATACCCAGGTCTGTTTGTTTGGCATGCCATTCCAACAGCCCTGTGCTCCTCGCCCTCAGTGCAGGGTGCTTGGTTCCCACATCCCCTAGTGGGAAAAGAACAGAACGGTATTTCTCGTGAAGATTGTGAATTTCTCTTTGGAGTTTTATTCCAAACAAAGATGTTGGAAACCTGAATAGAGCAGAGTAGTGCTGACTCACGCTGATAGTCAGATTTTCTTAGTTACAAGCAGACAGCAAGATGAGGTCTTGTGCCATTTTGACCCAGACTGTGGGAGGTAGGAAATGCTGGAAAATAACTACGCTTGGGCATGCTGAAAAGGTGGAGAACCTCTAAGGAATAATATCTTGAAGATATGGTAGGACTGGAAAGCCTCTTCAGAGCAAACAGCCATGAGCCTCAGCCCATTATCCTTCCAAGAGCTTTACCAAAACCCACCATTTCCAAATCTAACAGTAGATCCCTGTTTTCTTAATTATAGTTAGAGCAACAGGCCCACACTGTATTTTGGCAGAGAACAGGTGTCATAGTCTTCCCACCTCCCATCTCCATATCCAAATCAAGAGTGCATTACCCACTGACCAAATTTTCCACTTCATTTCCTCAACATTTGCACTTGTCAACCTGCCTTTCCACCACACATCTGTTACTTTATTGTTTCTTAAAGAGCTGCCCTTCAATTAGCCCATCTCCAAAAAGATTAATTTAATATCTTTAAAATCTCACATTCCTGAGCCACGTGAGCCATTTGTTAATATCTTTTATTATGTCAAATCAATAAATTATTTTCAGCATTAAAGTTTACACATCGTTGTCTGCTGTATATGAAGGAAGATCATCAATACAAATCTTCACTATCTGCACTGTCAGCTACAAATGATTTTTCTGTGAATATTTTTTGACTTAGAAACAATTCTTCGTTTTATGGGTAATATAAGAAAGATTAAAAAAAATTGATTTAGCTGAGGTATTCCACAATGTGATAAGGAACTATTAACAACCCCCATATTTTTAGTTTTCCTCCTTGACAAAAAGAAATAACATTTTTCAGACCTTCTAAAAGAAGTTATTGGGAAAGAATGTCCATTGTATTTACCTCTGACTGGGAGCTTGTTTGCCCACTCACACTCTTGCCCTGACTATATGAGTCAGGGCACTGCTGCCCACTGCACAGTTGAACATTTCTGCCCTTTATGTCTGGTCCTGTCCACTCATGATAGTCAATGGATCATCAATTTAAACCACAGACAGTCTAAGCCAAGCATGAAGTTACCGCCTCTAACAGCACTGCTAGAGATTTCATTGTGCCTTCTCCTGTCTCAGCAGGGATTACACATCTCCTCCAGTGAAGAAAATCATTTTTTCCTCCTCAAAAGATTCTAGACACTTGTAAGGTAGATGGACAAGGAGTCAGTTCTGCTCTACATAAGGCTGTAGAATTTTTAGCATGGATGCAAATGAGACGGAAGTAACACTGTGCTGCAGGGAGTTAAATCGGAGAATGAGGAAGGTGTAAAAAAGCACTGTTTTAAAGGAAAAAAAAAGAACAGAAAAAAATGCAGTAACCAAAAAATAAAAAGCATTAAAAGGAAGAAGAAAATAACAAAGAATTGGTGAAAAGTAAGAAAAGGGACACAAATTAATATGAAGTACAATACAATAAAACAAAAAGCTTAAATGCTTCAGCTACATCCACTCTACCATACTTTTTTCCTAGTTCTTCCCTCTTCTATCCCATTTTATTTTTCTGTTGGATTGGCCCATCTGTTTTTGAAATGGTCTCCTGAGGGCAACTCTTCATCAGCTTCAGTTCTCCTAAGGACAGTTTGCCACGCAAGGGATGCCTCAGCAGCTGTGATATTGCCAGCTGAGATCTTCCTGCAAACTAAGAATGGCACCACAGGCTGCTGAGATCCAGGGCAGGGATTGCTACTGTCCCAAACCAAATCATCCCACACTCCAATTAGAACTCAGTGGATGAACACAAAGAGCACAGTGCTTGCTGAGCACTGAGCAGAACAAAAGACTGATTCTGCTCCTGTTCTGTAATAGTGTAAATGAGGAACAACTCCAGTTGCTTCAGCAATGCTGCAGTAACTCAGTGCAATAACTCAACCTGCCAGCATCAAAAACTGGTAATCAGCCATGGTCATAAGGCTCAGCCCAGAAAGGGATTGCTGAAGTCAGTAACAACCTCCATACGTGCCAAGATCTGCACATGTGAGTTCTGCTGAAGAACCAAAGCCAAAAGGGTGGGTGTAAAAAATGGGAATTCCGGTTGAACTGAAAACCCCCCTTGGAACTTTTTATGTGACTGTAGCAGAGTTATAGACAGCACAGTCCTGTATTCAGACAAAAGGGCAACCTCTGGTGCAAGCATCTTTTTGCATAGGGAAGGTTCAACATCCAAACAACAAGAGCTAAGCAGAATTTCTACAAAATATGGATAATTCATTGCTAAAGAGCAAACTTTTAAGTTGAACAAAGCACTGTTGTTCTGCTAAGGATTTTCCAATGCAAACCTGATTATCCCATGAGGCAGAGAAGAGAACTGCTTTGAAGAAGGGAGTTCCAGAAATGCTAGAATGTAAGTAGTTATCAGTCTATTCTACCTATACTAATAGTGCTACCTAAAAATGAGTCATTAGGAGAAAGTGCATAGTCATGTACTCAGGCACTTACAGGTTAATACAACCTGTATACATGAAATACATTTTTTTTCTAAAACCAATTTCCAACCTCAAAAGAGACCCTGGAAATTTGTCAATAACTTTGCGCCTCACTGGCACCCAGGGTCCTCCTTAACAAATGCAGAAAAAATAGAACGGTTTTATATATTTTTGGCACTGTCAGTTCTGAAGAACTGATGCAGACTTGGGAGGGAAATGTCCTCCTACCCAGCTTCTTATTCAGTAAGAGAACAGCCTAAATTCCAGCTGTGCCCCTGTCCCAAACACTCTTTGGGAACCTGCAACATGTGCGAGCTCTCTGGGAATAGCAACACTGTACTGCTTTAAGATAGAAAAGCAACTGATCTGCAGAATCTTCCCTACATGGGGCACTGTTTATGCCATATTGCATCCTGGCATTCAGGGCCACAGCTGAGTTTGCAGAGAGGCAGAAAAGCAATCTTTTAAGCCTTTCTACCAATAAACTGTGTAGTATTCAACATCTGTGAAAAGCTGTTTAATACAGGTATCTTTCAGGCTCAAACCAAAACATTTATCTGAAACTTAAGCAAAACCTTTCCCCCACTTAAAAGTCAGACACTTCAGGCACAATGTGAAGCTGTAGTTAACCACATTTTGCTGTGAAGCAGAATCCCAGTATCATAGATAAATGCTCCCATTTCAAGACACAACACACTCCATCCAATTTTTCAATCCAGAGAAGTATAAAACTGGTCATTTTTTCTATCTATCTTCTTTCTTATATCTCAAGACCTGCAAATCTTTGCTGCCTCTTTATTTTATTCCACTAGGAATACTTTCTAAATGATTAACATTTCTATTCAGTTTCATATCTGTTATCATCAGATTTCACCAACCTATCTCCACAGAGATCTTCAGGTCAGACAGTTTCTGTCAAAACTGCTTGAAGGATTCGTGTCTGGAATTCCTATGTTATCATCATTTTGAGCCACCAAATACATACTACAGGCATTTTAACCATGAAATTTTTTTCCTCTTTTCTTTTTACAGAATGCAGCTCTTTGACAAGGCTAACTTTCCTTTGAACCACAGGTTTTTCTCATCACTTCAGTAATTTCCAATCTCAGTGTTCACTTTTCAAAATCATCTATACAACTTGGCAGATGGAGTTGCATCCAGATGACTTAAACCAGTTTTTTTATTACTATTTCAAAACTAACAGATATAAAGGCTCAACTCAAACTAGTCCCATATCATGTAATTACACACCCTAAAATATCAGCATGCGCAAATAATTTCTTGAGACAAAATTTCACTCTGTTAGGAGCTAAATGTTCTTTCTAAGGTAGGTATATAGGTTCTTCCTTCTAAAGTAAATGGAGAAAAAAGGTTACCTGTCTGAGGTATTACTTTTCACATCTAAAGACAAAGTACCCTCCTCCAGGGGAGCCATGCTCTTGATGCTGACTGCAGTTGAAACCTAGGTGACTAATACATAGCAAACCTACACATGAAATAAAATTAATCTCATCCCTGATGATCAATGCTGTTGTGATCTCTAGGCACATTATTTTCATGTGCTGTCTGGCATTTGGTACGACAAAAAATCTAAGAATGATTTTTTTATATATATGATTACTCAAGGAGTTAAATCCCAATTCCACCAGAACTCACTGCACTGCAAGAGGAACCAAACATCCTCCTTACTCCATCAAAAGATTCACTCAGCCCAGAGAAACAGCACTATCACAAGGCTGCCATCTGCAACACTTTACAATATGAAAAGAGAAGAGGAAACAAACACTCACCAGGTAAACCGTTGAACAAATTGTGCTATTTAGGCTACAAATATTTACAAGGAGACATGGTATCTCTCACAGATATGTACGTGCAGGGTTAAGTGTTCTAGAGGTATTTCTACAGTGGAACGGGAACAGTTGCTTTCACACAGGAGATAATACACCCAGTCTTGGATCAAGCTTGGTGAAAGTCACTGATTGCCATTCCTTGGGCATCTCATACAAACTGCTCTCACAGAGGAGAGCTGATGACATGAACCTCTGGCTAAAGGATGGTCGTGCAAAGAAGCTGGGCATGCTATTTACCCAAAAGCAGGAGGCAGAGAAGGATGCCCTGTTACACTTTCAAGCAGCAGCTTTGCACCTGTGACTGCAGCATGAGCTCTACTAGTACAACTACAGCAACTGCAGCACACAATCTGTGCAGAGATTTGGTCATACGACAAAAGTAACAGACATCAGGTTTGGGCATGCAGTTTATTTGTTTGCCCTGCTGAGAATCAACCAAGTTCTGTTTCCCCTGCTGTGGGCAACTCAGTCTAAGTAGCGTACAATGTGTGCTCTGGGCACGTGGATGCTGTTTGTCATCCGTGTCATACAGCCAAGCAGACTTCCAGGCCTGAACCATCTCTATTACCTCATCAGTACATATTACAGCTTGGATGTTCCTTTGAATTCTCCTTTGCAAATGAAGTAAAATGAAAACAATTAAAGCCCACAGAAAGCCAGAGGCTAGGGCCTTCTCATTTACTCTGGCCAAAGAGAAAATGAGTAGATTAATTTCCAGAATACTTCTGCTTGAGCACAGATGCCAGAAATCTCTACTTCCCCTTGGCACAACTTCTTTTCATGTTTTTAAATTTATTTACAAATCAAATATTCTTCAAGTGGGTATGTTTTACAGGATCCTCAAGAGTATCATGAATGACAAACCAAAGGGCTAGAACTCCTTAAGTGATTATATAATCCGAGAGTTGCAAACCACTGGGATTTTACTGTATAACCCAGACGAGGATAAAAAAGAGCCCTGCATTATTAATGCTAGATCTGTTTTCTTCTTTTTTTTTTTTTTTTTTTTTTTTTTTTTTTTTTTTTTTTTTTTTTTTTTAGCTCAAGCAAAGGCACTTACTCTGAAAGCTGTTCACTGAGAAGATGTTGGGATGATAGAATCCAGCTTTGCAAATACATTTGTAGGCTCCAAGCACAAATCCAAGGCCTTTAATTGGCATGCACTGTGAGAAAGGAAAAAAAGAAAAGTCATGCAGATGATCATACAACTGTACACTCAGATGTACATTCAAGCATAAAAAGATTACAAGATACTGTGCACAGACTTCTAAGAACAAACAGGCACTCCTTGCAGATTGCCAGCATTTTCTCAGTGGCTTTTCCTGTAGTCATATATCACTATCACTCCAGTTTTTTTGTCTTGTCATTCATCACCAACAGACAGAAAAGACAGGTGTAATCAAGCCTATTCCACTGGTGAACTGGCCATGCGCCAAATTTGACTCTTGCACATTTGCTCTAGGCAGGACATCCAATGGCCGTGTTTTTCCCTGAAGAGTTTCCAGCACTTTTTCCCAGCACAGTAGGTGGATTTCATACGGCTGGAGCTCACACTACATGAGAAAGAACTTAGATACCCACAGCCAAGCCACCAACCTTCTTCCAGCAGCACTGGAAGCTGGTGCTGGTGCCCCTGACACAATGGCAAGCATAGCAGAGTGGGGATAACCCAGTTAAAACACAAACTGGTTAGAGAAGATGGATGCAGACATACATCTAACATTGGTGAGAGAAAACGTATGTCAACAGGAGCCCCATACTTTTAAACTCTCCTGTCCCTTTTTGAGGAAGCAATATGTGAAACAAATTTTGTTTAAACTCAGCTTCACTCTTGCTTACTTCTGACATCAGGTCAACCACAGCAAATTTATTACCATGACAGAATATCTACAGTACATCAAACAGTATCTGCCTAGTACAGAGGAAAGAAGAAACAGTACAGCAACATAAAGGTAGAAACACTGGTAAAATGATGTTTCCCAGTACAGCTTATTTCACTTCATCAGACTGAAGTAGACTTCTATACTAAATGCCTTTCCCATCAGTACAGGTGTACTTACAGCATCAGTGTACCTATACCAACATGTCTCCATGAGTAAGAAATAGACACCAGCAGTTCCTCAGTGACCAATTGAATGATTTAACTAAAACAGCCTCTGCCCTCTCACCTGACTTTGACTTTAGAATATGCTTCGATCTCTAATTGTCTGCAGCTGGCAGGAAGGTGCAGAGGACTGGGTTCAGTAAAAAACATTCGAGTTTCAAAACCTCAGGTGTACACCAAGAAAGGACAGTCTGCACTGACATCTCAGAAAAATTCAGAAAGAAAAATTAAAAATAAATAAAGATTAATAAATTTTTATTATCTCAAATTTCAGCTCTGTGGACATCATTCTGCTTGGTGTGAGGAAAGTCACTTTGCTTGTCCTTGCCTCCATTTCTTAGATGGCATCATCTTTTCTTGCACCTTTTGCCAATCTGCTGTCCACGCAGGCAGTGCAGGCCTGTGGGTGCTATTGGAAAAAAGCTGATGAGTAGGAAACTGGTATGCAAGAACACTGAAAATTCATTCGGCTTTTGTGTAAGCATGAAAGAAGGGGAAAAAAAGCAAAAAAAAGCAAAGAGAAGGCACAAATTATTTTATCTTTACCCTGCAGAAATGTTACTGTTGACAGTGTGGAGGGCAGGGGAAAGTGAAATAGGATGAGTGTGTATGCAAGTCCAATAGCAGCAAAACCCCTTTAATCAAACGTGAAAAGGTAGTTGAAGTGGTAAAAAGACTTTTTTAGGAGAAAATTCTCTTCTGCCTTTCTGGCTTCTTGCTTTGTAACATGAAGATATACCGTGCTATAGAGACTGCATTTTCTTTTTGAAGGAAAAGAAGTAGTGCCTACTGTATTCTATGAACACTGCAGCACTCCTACTACTATATTCATAATCTTTTCCCACTGAACAAATTCATAGAATCTTAGAATTATTCACATAAAATATGCCATAGGCTCATGAATCTGTTAAAAAATGAATGCTTTACTGATGATCCTTTCACAAACATTCAATATTCACATCAAATAAAAGTCTGTAACTTTTATTTTATTGTCACTGACCAGTCTAGAACTTGAAAATGAAGAAAATATTTCAAATGCTGTTATCTTTCCTTGACCTAGGATATTATCCTTGCTTCCAGACTTTGGCAGCTGAAAAGCACACCTTAAAAACTGTCAACTTGGTTTTTTCATTGCACATAATCCCAAGCAAAGGTACAATAGGGATCAGGACTTTCAGCCTACTGAAAGGTGGAATGGAGAGAAGGAGAAAAAGAAGCCTAGATCACTCTAGATCTAGGCTAGATGCAGTTTCAAACTCTGAAATTCCACTGTGCTCAACATTTCATGCAGACATTTACAACTTGAGTTTTTTTAAGAAATTGCAACAACTAGGCAGGGAAGAACACCAAATACCACATGGTCAAAAACAGGAAAAATACTTTCCCTGGAAAGAAAAATTTTTGCTCTTTTCACAAAAGATTTAACAGTTCATATTTTATTAACCAATGGTGGTAAATATTGTGGTGAAAAATAAATTGAGTAATAAGAGTTTTCTGCTGCACAGAAGGAGTTTAGCAAACAAAGTCCAGATTTGTTTGTCATGTTTGTAAACAGACATAGAGGCTTTTCCTGGCTGTCTGTGGGTGAATCTACACAACACACAGCAGGCATAGACAAGCAGCTTTTGTCCTTGCCCTGATAAGTGGCACCCTGGTTCCAGTGACCCCAGTGGCAGACCCTGAGCACAAGCCTTGCAAAGCTGGACTAGCTCACCCACAGCAGCCCAGAGAATCAGCCACGGGCCTCAGAGCCCCACGAGCACAGGAACTGAGCAACACACAATAGACTGTGCAGGCACAGCCAGTAAAATATTAATCTGCTGCTGAGTTACTTCAGATTTGATCCATATAGAACTTGGCACTTATAAAAAAGCAGATGTGTGAAAAATTACTGCTTCCACAGAAGCAAAAAAAAAAAAAAAGTAAGCATAAAACTGACCTGGGTTTAGATTTCATTATAAATGTGAGAGCAAAGCTCTGGGAATAAACCCACCATATTACTGAGCATTTTTCAATTCATCAGTACTCATAAGCTTTTTAAAAATCATACTTTATCTAATTAATTAAAGCAGCTACTATAGATTAGATCAGAAGATCCATTTAGGCTTGTATCACATCTCCTACGTGCCCAGCAGCCAGTGTCAAGGCAAACAGTGAAAGATGCAGATGGCTATTGAATGATCCTTCACCCAATGTGCCCTTCAGGCCATCATACTCCTAAATGGAATTTGTATTGCTTTAACTTCCAGCCATTAGTTCTTACAGATGGCTTGATTACCATTAAGATCAGCTTTATCATTATCTTTGCTAAAAAGAGAATAATAGGTGTGTGTAGAATTCACACAGCACATTTATTCCACCTATCTGTTCCCTGGTATTACATTTTTAGCTTTACAGTATTAGTCTAATTACTGACTCCCAGGTTTAACATAGTATGCTTAAAATCATATATTCAGCTAAAAAAAAAATATATATATTTCATGAATATTTATCTCAAAAATATTTATAAATAAATAGCCCTGAATCAACACAGACACAACATCTAAACCAATTTTTTAAAAGTATGTATTGGTTTAATTTTATGCTGCTTGTTGTAAAGGACAAAGTTGGTAAAATCTAATGCGATAAAGATTATCTCTGCTGGAAAGAAAACAAACCCTTCAAATAACCTGTGCAGTTGCTTTGAAAGTCTGAGCCAAATCTTCTGGCACAAGTGAGACAAAGCCCTTCATCAGATCTGATTAGGGAGAAACCAATTGACAAAGTATTCAGCAGACACACAAAGCAGGTGTTACATCCACACCAGAAAATGGAAGGGGAAAAGAGGGCAAAAAAACCCTAGTAGTTTAAGAGAGGGCATGTGGCATCATGTCCTACATGTAATTTAGAAACTCAAATAAATGACAAAACAAATCTGTCCTGTGGCATTCTTGAGCAGAGGGGGAAAACCAGTAATTTTAGAATTTAAGGAGGAAAAAAAACCAAACTAAAAATGCAGTCAGCCTTGTCTTGGGTATTTCTAGTTTTTGGAATAGTAGCTTTGAAGATCTGTATTTCCACATGCATATAGAAATGAGAACATCTCCCTTCCCTAAAGTCGACTCCTTGTTCACAGGACTTAATAGGAGCAAAGTCATGATAGATAAAGCTTAATGAAAATAATACAGGTAAGCCCATATTTCTTTGCTCTAGTCAGGGGCAGCACATAGGGGATTTCTAGAAAATGCTAAACACATATAAGTAATTTTATGCCTGCCACACAATAGCAGCTGGAGCAGGTTGGTGTCCTGCAAGACCCCATGAGCTTTTTTCTGATCCCATTTACCACTGTGGTCAAGCACACTTACTCATAAAAAGCATAGGTAAAAGAAGACAAAAGCCAAAGTGTCTCTGCGTAAGTCAATGACAGTTCTGTCACTGAAATGGCTTTAGCCATTGTATTTTCTCACTTCATTTACCCTTCAAGAGCAGAGTTTTATTTGACAGTGTGTTTGCAGTCTCAGAAGTGAACGGTGAGCGCATCCATACAATCCAAGAACCTTGTGCAACACCTGGGAGGCCCTGCTTGTGTCCAGACAGCTTAGGAGGCAGCCAGCCTGCCAACCTCACTACTCATAAGCTTTAGTCTTCAAATATAGCAGTTTGTTTCAAAAAGACAGAACAGGGTTGGGCAGAAAACTCATCATCAGCTGTTGTCATGCACATGGAGAACCCACGGTCAGCTTACAAACTATGCTTCCCACAGTCAGGATCCTTTACAGAAGGACAACAATTACAGCAATTTTCAGAGGATGTGCAGCTTGGACACTCACAGATTCTCTGCAATGACAGTGTTTAAGACAGATTTTTCATTACTGCTGAAAACACTTGTGCAGTCTACAGTCAGGCTACTTTAACAACAAAATCTCTTTATTTGACAGTCTGGAATTGACACTGGTAACCTGAATATTATTTTAGAACACATCAAACTTTGCTTCTGATTAACATGCTAACCAACAAAATTACAATTTCTCCTTTCCTAGAAAACTGCACAGCAATTACAGGGGAACCTGTTAACAG